CAGATGAGGGACACGAAGCAAAAAGAGATTGCAAAATGTGTCCAAGGTTCCAAAGCTGGTGAGTAGCTGGGTTTTGGAGCCAGGTTGTAAGTTTCCAGAACCTGTGCCTCGGAGCATCCACGCTATGAGACGCTAGGCCGTCATTAAAACGAAGCTGAGGTAGACTGCAAAATACCAATGGAAAATGCCTATAAAATCAGGTTAAGCAAAAAAAGCCGAGTGGCTATACAGCACATTTTAGGAGCTGCTGATGACTCTGTGAGCACCTGGATCCAGGAGAGCCTTTGAACTAATTCATCGGTGGTCACCACAGCTTGAGGCAAAATGGTCCTTCTGCAGAACCACAGAAGAGAAAGAACCAAGTCCTTGCTGTGGAGTTTCTCTCCTACCACGAACCGCAGCAGTATGGGAGGTAGCAGAGCATAGTCTTCTAAACCAGCGGTTCTCAAATTGTAGCCTGGGTAAGAAAGCCTGGAGGGCTTGTTAACTCCCAGACGGACTGGGCCCCACCTCCAGAGCTCCTGACTCAATTGGTCTGAAGTGGGGCGGAGAATTTGTGCGTCTAACAAATTCCCAGGTGGTGATCACGCTGCTGGTCTGGGGACCACACTTTGAGAAGCCCTGGTCTAAGCCATGGGGAGAAACTCCAGGTCTCTGACAGCAGCCACAGCTCTGTCCTCACTCTGTTGTGTGATCTGAGTGGCCATCTATTGCATGCTTAAGTTGTCAGGAGAGCTAAGAAAAGATTTATATGATACACTCAGCAAATTCAAAGAGCCATTAAAACTCCAGGGAATAAGAAGATATTCTTGGGAGGCTGCAGAGAGCAGTGGTTAAGAAGGTGAACTCAGAATCAGAATCGCAGGTCTATCTCCTACTAGCTGTATGAGTGTGCGTAAATTACTTAACCTCTTAGTTCCTCAGTTTACATATCAGTGAAACAGGAACAGGAATTCAGGAATAAATAGGAACAGGAATAAAGTGAAATAGGAATAAAAGCTAAACTTCACAGAGTTGTGACAGTTCAACGGGGTAACCCTGAGGACTACATTTGGCTAATGCTTGCCAAAAACAAATACTTCTGACTCCCAACCCTGGCCTGCTGAGCCAGAATCTCCAGGGCAGAGTTCTCAGGACTGGAATTTGAATAAGTGGCCAGATGATTCTTAAATTGGGCAAGTTTTGCAAACTCAGATAGAATCCATGTAAACTACTTGACCTTGATCTGTGCTCCCTCCACAGAGGCCAGCCACTGGTTTATTACCACCTGGGTCTATTTGCAAATGATACTACCGTGGCCTTCTTGATAATCTCATCCAGGGTGATTAACTAGTAGATACTTTATAATAAAATTTTAGAACACATGGCTGTATATCCATAAGTAAAAATTGAGCTGTACATTTAAGATTTGATTACATTACTGTTTATCAATTATACCTCAACAGAAGGTTTAAAAAACAAATTTGGGGGCTGGCCCAGTGGTGCAAGCGGTTAAGTGTCCGCGCTCCGCTGCGGTGGCCCGGGATTCGCCGGTTCGGATCCTGGGTGCACACCGATGCACCGCTTGTCAAGCCATGCTGTGGCGGCATCCCACATAAAGTGGAGGAAGATGGGCACAGATGTTAGCCCAGGGCCGGTCTTCCTCAGCAAAAAGAGGAGGATTGGCAGGTGTTAGCTGAGGGCCGATCTTCCTCACACAAAAAAAAAAAATTTGAAAAAGACATGACCCCCATTCTTTAGAAAAATGCACTCAAAGACAAATAATGCTACAAGACAGGCTATGGGCCTAAATGCTCATGTACAAAGGACACAGCGCCACAAGTGATTGTATGGAACACATGGGAAGTGAACAAAAGAGTCACTTGAATTATGTGGCTAGGGAAGCAGCCAATGGAAGTACTGGGGTAACTTCTATAATGGAAGGATCCAGAGTTTTCCTTTGATTTCCACCACTTCTGATAGAAACAGCCTCAGCCCAGCCTCCCACCTCAGAGAGCTGGCTTTACCTGTAAGGACAGAATTGCTTCAGTCTTCATCTGGGGTGAACCTTGCCTTCGCAGCAACTCATTCACAAGCCCAGGCTGGAACCACAAAGGGCCACATCTCCCCAGCATCATTACACAGGGAAGGGAGGGGTCCTTTTTCTCATTGTTTGTTTGCATTCCAAAAGTCTTTTTCTAGGCACATCCACAGAGTCACAGAGTCATGGAGAGAAGGTGACCATGACCAATGCATACAAACCATGGTGGCTGATGCACAAACCAAAAAATCAGTTAAAAATCGATTTCCCCAAAGTATATCTCCCCCTGGGCTTTGGAGACAAAGGCATTCCACCAAGTGCATTTAGCAGATGAGGACTCTGAAAGAGGGAGCTGGAGGGCTTAGCCTGGGATTAAGCACCGTCCTGCTGGGAGGAAAACCAGGATGTGAACTCCAGCTCTTACATTTCAGGAGCAGGCAGCAAGTTACCTACTAGCTCAAGGGGATGAAGTCAGAACAAATAGCTAGTGCCACTTTAACATCATGCGCAGACTCTGCCCCACAGGCTACCAGCTGGAGATCAGGGTCATGATTATGGGCCTAATTTTATTATTGCTCATAGAGCTAATAGACACACACAACAACAAATTTTTAGTTTGCAGTTAAGTGGTCAGGCTGGGTGATTTGGGAAAGAGGCAGTGATTTGGGAGGTCAAGTATCACCATGGCTTCTCCTTTACGTTTAGACGGTAGACACTGATTTTTTTATGCTGCATCTTCTGTTCTAAATGAGCACAGTTTGCACTGAAGTGGTTTCTATTTCCTATTTCCATATCAGATGCAAGCTTATGGTTTTAGGCTATTCATGCGCTTTGCTCACGACCCAGACCTGGCATCCCTGTGGCTCGTGAGCCTGTAACAGATACTTTCGATGCCCCACCCAAACCTATTTGGATGCCATTTCCCGTGTCTGCCCACCCATCCTCTCTTCTGGGGAATTTGCATCCCAGAAGTCACATCCATGACTTTCTTTGGCAACTGCTTTGAGCCACTGGCTCCCTGCTTATGCTGACAGCCTGAAGAGCTTGCAAAATGAAACCCCGTCAGGCAGCCTGACTTGCGGGACTGTGCAAGTCCAGTCACTAGCCCGAATTGGGACAAATTCGGAGGTAGTCATTTATGTTCTAGGACAGTGCTGTCCAATAGAACTTTCTGTGATGAAGGAAATGTTCTAGATCTGTGCTGTCCAAAATGGTAGCCACTGGCCACAACTGCTGAGTACTTGAAATGTGGTTAGTGCAAGTGAGGAAAGGAATTTTTAAAATCCTGAATGAATGCATGCATGCATGCATGAAAAAGCAGCCTCCATGAGTTGCAATACTCAGAATCTGTGAAGAGAAAGCTATGTCCTAGGGTAAGGTTCATTTTCAAGTTGCCTGAGGGTTACCTAGCAACTCTACCTTATTTAAACTTTTGTTCCTGGAAATCATTCCAAGAGGCATAAGTCCAATTTCTCTTCTTAGTAACTGAAATGTAGTGACTGTGGTCTAATTTTTCTTTGGTTTCAGTTGGAGGAATGTCTCAGAATCTGAACATCAGTGCCCGTGGATGAGCATTGTCGATGTAAACTGTAGGAAGTGATGGAGATTGGGCTGAATTCGAATGGACCCCAAGGCATGGCCTGAATCTTCATATGAACATTTTAGGACGTTTAGATTCTGATTATTGAAGTTTTATTGTAAATATCAATAGTACTTTAATAGCTATCCTCCCAAAGATTTTGAGATTTAGAGACTCAAAAGTCAAATTTATTCTGTTTATTATTATTTAATTTATTTTTTAAAGTGATCTAGGCCTGGTTCCTAGCCCCCGAAGGCTTCTTCTGTTCACCTCTGGAGCCAATAATTGCCATCTTCAGGTCACCCTTGCTGTTCTCCATAATCAACCATGAGTGGAGGAGGGATTTTAAGGAGTTTCCGCTCTATTCACTGTTGTATTTTAATTTCGTGTTGCCTCTTGCACTGCTGCTGGGTCTCATTCTCTTCCTTGCGCCTGAGCCTTGACTATAAGCTGTTTGGCACCTCAGTCCCTCCAGAACAGAGAACTTGTCTTGTTTCTGTCTATATTTTGCTCAGAACAGATGCCCCAAAACCTCAGTCCACTATGCTCTGTTAGACCAAACTCCTTCCAGAGTTTGTCCCACATTGTTCAACAACTCATTCAACAGACATTTAAGGGTCCAATATTGCCAGGCACTGTGCCGGGGAGGCCACAAATCTTACATTAGCATACCTAGCTTCTAGGTAAAGAAACAGAGATATAGAAATAATGAAAACTGTGTCCTATCAGAAAGCACATACAGAAAGAGCTGGCAACAGAAGGGAGGTCTGGGAGTTGTCAGCTACTTGAAGGCAAGACTCAGGTTTGATTCCCTTTTGTGCTCAGGATATAGGCTTTCAAAGAAGAGGGTAAGCATATGATACAGTAAGATAATATTTCACATAAACAATAAATGTACATTGAAGGTCCTAAGAAACAGACAGACCCTGGCAGCCCCACTTCCGTAGGAAGCTTCACATAACTATGGAAGAACTTGTTATGCGGTCTTCTGTGCTGAGCGAGCTTTAAAAAGTATAGTATAGGACAGTCCCATATGACATTCTTTGTGCCACCAAGTGAAGACCCTTGCTTGATGATTCAACCTGAACTTCAAGATTGTAAACACATGTGTATAGTTTATCTCAAAGGAATGGGATGTAGACCCAGGAAGGTGACCAGGCTGGGATTGTCTCACAGACATCACTTTCCTTCATGATGGATAAGCAGTTTGTTCTTTGTCTCTGTGTTGCCCCATGTTTAGCCATAAATGGTAATTAATCTATCTAGCTAAAAATGTGTGGCTATATTCTCAAGGAGCTCTCAGCCACTGTTGTAACAGTAAGCAGTAATATAATGTGTTGAAGTAATCATAATTGATTAAAACTGCAAACACAGCCTACCCAAACACAAGGCCATGGCTACCTGGTGGCAAGAAGTGGGTATGTGTGAACTGGGCTGAACCAGGCTTCCTTCCTCCGGGGCATGCTGTCGTAGATTAAAAGGTCCTTCTCAGTCAGTACAACCAGAGCTGGCTTCCACTGCTTCTCACTCTCCCCAGGCACCTGAAACAGAAGGCAGAGGACTGTCAAACAACAGCCTGAGAAAAGAGTGACTTAAGGAGAAGTTGCATCCCCCCAATCAGAGGACTCAACAACAGGAGTGTCTTTTGGTTCAGATTGTAAAATAAAAGTGGAAAGAAACCAATCACAGTGACATGATTCCTGATCCTTGAGAATATGTTTTCTCAAGGGCTCTGGTACGTACACTTAGTGCAGCCAAGAAGCAGCCCATCTGCCAAACATCTGTCACTGTTTCTCACCTGCCAGTCACCACTGAAATCTTTATTTCACAGTGGGATGCAGATGCTTGGGGGAATAAGCACTCCCAGCTGGTTCTCTGGGAGAGTGTATTTGTTTTTATTATGAAAAGGTAAAGTTTTAAAGCTTTTGAATAAATATCCAAAGGCTCTCAAAGTGTATCATGGAGGTGAATGTCTGCCTGGATGGGTATGAGACATCACAGCCTCTTCCCCCAGTCTTTCACTCTTAGATTATTTCTGTGTTTCAGGCACCATCTTGAAATTCTCTTGTTCTACTGAATGTTTAGTTCCAACATTCATCGCAGATAATTCTTTAACTCAAAGGGTGAGATTACCTGGCAGGGTTACGAGAGGATTCAAACATCAGTTGGATGACTGGACCACAGGACCTTTAAGGTCTCTTCGAATCCTGAGAGTCTATGTAGCTCAGATCTTATCTCATGAGCCACCCGCCTCTGCCCAGTGTTGATTCTCCCAAACTCCCTAAATGTTCTTCCATCTATGAAAACTCCCTCCTTCCAATTTGAACTCTGGGCCCTGGGATAAGTCTTTATGTTCAGTTGGGAAAACCTCAATGCTCTAGACTTGTTGCTCAAAGCATGGATCGTGTTCCAGTAGCATTGCATCACCTGGGAGCTTGCTAGAAACGCAAAGTCTCGGGACCATCCTAGACCTATTGAATGAATCAGAATCTGCATTTTAACAAGATCTCCAGGTGATTCATATGCTCATTAAAGATTAGGAAGCGCTGTTCTAGATGAGGTTAAGATTGTCTTTGACATTGGCAATTAATTCAGCGAAGATTCAACCCTCTCATAGCAAACTACTCTCCAAATCTACTCAGAATTAAAGTAAAGTAGACAGTTAGCTAAATAAATGATAAAGCTAATTTCTTCCCTTTCTATTCTTATCATTAGCTTTTCTGAAGTGCCACAGTGAGATCTGTATTGAAGTTGAAAGCAAGTATGTGTGGCTTTAGGAATGAGTGATCATAGTAGAGAAGACGTGCAGGACGGTATAAGGGTTAAGTTTTGTAGGTATGTCATTTTATAGTCTGCTTGAGTCTGAGTCTCTCCTCCATTATTTATTGCCAGGGTGACTTTGGGCAAGTTATTATTCTCTGTGCTTCCATTTTCTCCCTGATAAGGATAACATCATAGACAACCATGGTTAAGAGTGCTGACTCGGGAGCTACAATGCTTGAACTCCCAGTTCCACAATTGACTAGCTATGGGATCTTGGGCAAGTCAGCGAATCTCTTTATATCTCAGGTTCTGTATCTGTAAAATGGAGAAATAATAGTACCTATATCACAGTGTTGGTGTGAAGATTAAATGAGTTAAAGTGCTTACAAGGCTAAGCATGGCACACGAGAAGCAACATTTAGAGCCTGTTAAGTAGCAGGTACCTCATGATGCTACAGTGGAGATGAAATGAGACAGTGCATGCAATGTGCTTAGCGTGGTACCTGGCAGATGATAAGGCCCTCAGTGAAACTTAGGGTGGGAAAATTGCAGCAGACTCACCAATTTTTAAACTTGTCAAAAAAAGGTGTTCTTTAGAAATGGCAACAATATGACTTAGGAATGATTTTCCTTGGGAAAAATTATAAGGCAAACCAAGAATATGTTTGGTGCTGACAATTTCCATACATTCTCCTCCCATCCTTTGCAAAGTTCTAATGGGAAGAACTCATTGCACAATGATTACCTTTATTTTTCAATGCCCCACTTCCAATAATTCCAAATAAAAACTCCCTTTCTAGAAGGAAGAAATCCCCTCTGAAGCTATTTATACTAGAATGTGAATGACTGCCTGGCATATTTCTCCCTCTGTGCATGTTATGCATATAAAAAAAAAATCTACCATTAGCCTATTACTTTTTCCAATAGAACAATGGTATCTTCAAGTGATCAAAATGGATTCTTAGAGAAGGCAATGTACCAGCCCTACGAGGTGAATAAGCTATGGTCTCAAGGCATAAAGTGTTTGGGGGGTTTGGAATAAATTGTTTCTAGCCTCTACATTAAACCTAGTAAATTACTTTTCCAGCTCATTAAATAGGACTGGAGAAGCCACAGATGATTCTCCCAAAGTGCCTATCTTACTTACCTATTCAGTCATTTAAATGTGAATACAACTAAGCATCATTCTTCAAAAACAGTATTCCATTTGCAAAATAAACCTCAACAGTAAATACCAACAGTAAAATGCAGACCTTTCTACTGGTAGAATCACTTGACCACATGTCAAGTGATATATAGGTTTGAACCATTCCAAAGCCCTGATACATTTTGTAGTTTATCAAAGAGCCCTGTGCGGATATGTTAACTCTGCTGTGAGAATACTCAGAGTGGGCATTTCCACCATTCCCATGTGCAGAGCTTTCATTTGAATACTGTGTGAATGCTCAAAGGTAGAATTCTGCCCATGAGGACAAACGACTTTCCAAGGAGAAAAATTTCACGTTGAAGAACAGGTTTTTAAAACCATGCTTTGTGCTCTGTAGCTTCACATCGCAAAGCTTTTCAAGAACACCTTTCTTTAGGCTCACATATTTGTGCTGTTGTTCTAGTGACAACTTTCATTACAAATCCAAATCTCCTGGCACCCGAAGATTCTCCAGTGTTAATGCAGCTGTTCTGAGAATGTCTACATTTTATTAAAACGTGACCGCTAAAACAGATGATTCAGGATTCTGTCTCGATCCCAGCTTCCCACAACTGGATGCTGTAGCAGGCAGTTTGTCAAGAATTAATCCTGTTTCTAACAGAGAAGGCAAAGGGAAGGAAACAGGAAAACAGACATTCAAGTCTAAAATTATTCTGAAGCACGACTGTGGTGATCTGAAGCCTGTCCCCATAGGTAGATGCTTCTGCAGAGCATGAGAGAAAAGGTTTACCAGATGGCAAGAAGAATTTAAGAGAGAGTGGAAAGAAGTCACTGGTAAGACTTGAGGGAAGTAGCTATAAATGTATGAAATCAGTATATTGTACACCTTAAACTTACACAATGTCGTATGTCAATTATATCTCAATTAAAAAAAAAAGAATCGAGGGAAGTAGGGTCATTGAATACTTGATTTGAAACACATCTCGTAAGTCATGTAGTTCAGTGGCTTTCAAACTTTTAAAATTCATAGGACCTTCTGGTGAGATTAAATCACAAGTCATAGCACAAAATGTAAAACAATTGAAAGAGGGTTTGCATGAGGTTATAGCCTGGTTGGGATCCCAGACTTTATGTCTTTTTCTACCACCACCCACACCTCTGAGTGGGGCTCCTAGCAACCATTGGAATACAGTTTTGAAAACTGCTGACCTCGACTCCTCTAAGACACCCAGAATCTGCAGATTACTTTCAAAAAGACAGTTTCACCAAAATTTTTCAGTGCCTTTTTAAAAGTGTCTTCCAAAGAAAAGAAGGATACTGTTGCCTCTTAGGCAGAGTTGTAAGGATTAAATGAATTAATACACATAGAGGACTTAGAAACGTGTCTTGCATACAGTAAGCAAGCAAGCCTTTAAAAATATTAGCTATTTTACTGCTACATTAAGGTAAGACTAAGTGAATATCAAATTAAAGATCTGGGTGTACTTGGCAAGAATTACATACCTTTGTGGGCCTAATGTCCGCAACTGCTCAAGAATGGGGTGAAACTAAATTATTGCTAACAGCTTCTCCAACTTCAAAATCTAATGATCTTTTTCAGTTTAAAACTCCCTGCTAGTAGGCTGGGACTGCTTTAGTTACTAGGACTCTTGCTTTATACTTCCCTCTTCTTTGTTCAGTGGACTCTGTTCATAGGGCAAAAAACAATATGTGGGTCTCTTTTTCTCTCCTCTTGCCAACTCACTCTTCCCAACATACTTATTTTCTTCCTTCTACTTGAGCACAAAAGCCAGCCCCTTGGGGCCGGCCCGGTGGCGCAAGCAGTTGGGTGCGCGCGCTCCGCTGCGGCGGCCTGGGGTTCGCTGGTTCGGATCCTGGGCGCGCACCGACGCACTGCTTTGGCGGGCCATGCTGTGGCGGCGTCCCATATAAAGTGGAGGAGGATGGGCACGGATGTTAGCCCAGGGCCATCTTCCTCAGCAAAAAAAGAGGAGGATTGGCAGATGTTAGCACAGGGCTGATCTCCTCACAAAAAAAAAAAAAAAAAAAAAAAAAAGCCAGCCCCAGTGGTCGAGAGGTTAAGATCTGGCATTCCTCATCTACTCGCCTGGATTTGTTTTTCCCTCAGAGAACCACAGCACCCATCTGGCTGTGTGTTGCTGTGATGCTGAAAGCTACGCCACTGGTATTTCAAATACCAGCAGAGTCACTCATGGTGGACAGGTTTCAGCAGAGCTTCCAGACTATAACGACCAGGAAGAAAGACCTGGCCACCCACTTCTGAAAAAATTGACCATGAAAACCCTATGAATAGCAGTGGAGCATTGTCTGACATAGTGCCAGAAGGGGAGAGGAAGGCACAAAAAGACCGGGCAGGGTTCTACTTTGCTGTACACAGGGTCACTAGGTGTTGGAATTGACTAGATGGCACTAATAGAAAAAAACTTGAGCACAGGGTGGCAGAAAGAGCTCATAGTCTTCACAGCCAAACAGCAATGTCTTCAAAATCTGGCTACTTCTTCAAAATCTTGCCACTTCTCAGCTGGGGGATCTGAACAGATTACTTAACTGCTATTAGCACTTGTTCACTGATGTGTAACATGCTGATAATGGCATCCTATGCATATTTTA